GTGAGTTTGTCCCAATCAATTTGCCAGCAATCATGATAATCATATGCAAAAGGTGGCAAACTTTAAAGATGGGAATCATAGGCTACCATATGGCTTTCTCCTCACTCAGATGTTTAGATTCTACAAGGTCCCCTTGGGGAATCCTAGAGTAGGCACACGCAAACAAACCTTCTCTAAGACCACTTTAGAAGAATGTGAATGTGTATAAAGAGTTGGTAGAAGCATCTCGACCATTTCTCAGCTGATCAACGCTCAAAATGTAGCTTCTGAAGAGATCAGAAGGTTGAGGGCTCGAAATACCATACTGGAAACTCAGCTCAGTCAAGCAGTTAAAGGACCTGATTTTGTTAATGAAGAATTTGCACGACTGATAAAGGAAAATGATAAACTTCGGGTACAATTACTTGAAGAACAATTGTCTGCAAATGCTCGACTGGACCTGGTTCTCTAAACAATTTATGTCTCTTCTTCCAAACCTCCTTCTTCTAGTGTCCCCTAGGATCCTCTTAGTGTCCAGCTATTTTTTCTTTAATATTTTGTGGCTGCTATTTTATTTTTGTTTGCCTTTTTTTTGTGCTGGCATGCTGAAACTCACCATTACTGCTCCTGTCTTGCTCAGTCCACTGTAAACATTAATAAAACAGCTCACCTTTTTTGCTTGTATAATATTGTGTTCCTCTGGCTTCTCTTTTCTATTATGTTGTGTGCACATATGTGGCATGAGCTAGCTATGTTAGACTTCTTTATGCTAATTACCTGCTTGTGCTCTTTTTAATGATGCCAAAAGGGAGAAGAACTTTATGTAGAGATTAAGGGGGAACTTTGTGTAGTTCCGTGTAGGTGATTTCAGGAGAGCTCTGAGATTAAGGGGGAATTTTATGTAGTTCCTGGAATATTAGATTTCAGGAAGAACTCTGACAAATTCCTGGAATATCAGAGTTTGTGTAGTTCTGGTATCTTATCTGGTTATTTCTGCTCTAAACAAATACCATCCATGCCTCAGCTTGTCATCATCAATAAGGGGGAAATTGATGGATTTTCAATGTCTTTGCCTTATGCTTTTTTATGTTTTGATGATCTAACAAACTTGTTGTGAAGAACCAGATAGAGAACCTGACCCACATTTCAAATATTCTGGTCCGAGCCTGAAAATCAGCAAATGAATGAACGACGACAGGGAGGAACACAATAGGGACCTGGTGACCTGGTATCTTAGGGTTCTCCGACACAAGTACAAGTTAGTGACTGTACACAATCATTATAAAGAGAAACACAACAGGGACCTGGTCCCTTACGGTTCTCTGACAGAAGTACAAATCAACTGTACAGCTGGAACGTAGCAGTAGAAAGTGACTATCTCGCAACTCTTACAGAAGAGGAACACAACTAGGACCTGGTCTGATATTGTTCTCTGACAGAAGTACAAGTCGACTCTCCAGTTGGAACGCAAATGCACAGAAGTGGTTGTGGAGATAGTACAACAGTCACTTCTCATTGGGAAGAAACGTGTACCAAGAATTGACATCACTATCTATTGTGATGTCTTTTGCGATATAACAACCTGGTGCAAGGCACAACATTTTCGTGCATTTAGTGATATTCTCTAAAGCATAACAGTGTTCATCCGGCATTGAAGTCACTGGTGTGTCAAGAATAAGAAGACAACTCCACTAAGGATCAGTTTCTTAATGAGTTTATGCACATCCGTAGTTAAGTTATAATCTTGTCATTTGCACTTCATTGTATTTCCTAGTTTGCTTTCTTAGAAGCTTTGTCTTAGGAAAAAATCAAAAATTCGTAAACTTCCGAGTTTATATTGTGACTAGAAATAGTCATAAGTTTAAAGCCTTTGTAACTAGGATAGTTATAAAGTGGCTTGTGGTGAGAGCATCACAAGTTAGTTGAAGTCTTTGTAATAGAGTTATTGCAAAGTGGCTTGTAATAGAGAGATTGCAAGTTAGTGAAGTTAAAAGCCTACAATAGTAGGTCGTGACTTTTTGATCCCCTTGTGTGGGATTTTTCCACGTAAAAATCCCTTGTCTTCTTTACTTTCAGTTTCTATAGTATCCTCAGCATCATCTCATATAGGACTAGGTACTCTATAGTTTGGTGGACTCATACAAACTAACACCAAGGAAAAGGAGAAGAATGATGGGATTCTTCATAATATGTTGAATCTTCTCCAAGCCCAAAACCAACCCTCTAGCTCCCCCAAGCCTTAGGAATTCTAGCCTTTATCTTATGCACCTGTCTAGTACCATCAGTGACCTAGATTAGAGATTTCTCTTTCTTTTTGCTCATGTTTTGAATATTTTTGCTTTTTGTTTGTGGATTATGGTAGCAACATATCTTCTATCAATGATATCTACTGTTTTTGCTCTTGTTGACCGTTACTATTTCCTTGATAGTTTAAATATGTTTGCCTGATTACTGATAATTAATCCATGATTGTACTTGCAGTTGCCCTAGTGGCCATGAATACTTATTAAAATCTGGGACTTACACTTTGTTTATGCAACTTTTCGATGATGCCAAAAGGGGGAAGAGATATAAGATATTGTGCTTTACATATTCTGAATATGTGATGTTTATAACCTAATTAACCTGGTCCTTGATGATAAGTGAATTTTTCTAAACTTTGTATTGATGAATAAGTTGAGTTCTTACAGGACCTAAGTGAGTGAAAAGCACAGAGTTTGTCATCATCAAAAAAGGGGGAATTTGTTGGCCCAAGTAAATGTGAAGTTTTAAAGACTGACAAAAGAATTCAGACATGGACCAGGTCCATCTTGTGAAGCACAGTCATGATCAACCCAAACATGTCAGATGCACGTGAAGGAGATAAATCTAACTTATCAGAAGTAATATCTCCTGATCATGATTGAAAAGGTTGCATATTGGATAAGGAGAAAGACTCCTTACACAAAGAGAATACAGTTTAGGAAAATGATAGAGTTAGAGTATGAGATCAATTAAAACTCTTCCACCATGGAAGAGTAGCATTTGTATCCTAGTCAATCTCTAATTACTAACTCCTTAAATATTAGTATTGTTCTCTTTTACAAATAATGCACATAAGCAGAAGTTAAACGTGAATTGAGAGCAAAATAACAAGGCAATTTTGCAAGCAATTTATGTGTGATTCAAGCGTGTAATCCTGAAGCTACTTGAACCAGATAGAAGAACCAGATCCAAATGTCTATTTTTTGCTCTAGTTCAATTGTAGAAGGTGATTTTACATTGTACCTTTCAGCTTTTATAGAAGCAATTTATTAGGTACTTAGAGTTTTCAAGTTAGAGTGAACTTGAAGTTGTCGCAACAGTTGAGGTTGTGTGCCACAATGGGATTAGAGTTAATCCTAGGTTTACAAAAGAGTTTTTGTAAATGTAGTTTTTGGCTCAGTGATTTTAGTGGAGAGTTTGAAAAATCCTACTGGAAGTAGGTCGTGATTTTTTTTACCTTTTGAGCCAAGTGTTTTCCACATAAAAATCTTTGTGTTCTTTATTTTCTGTACTTAGTATTCCGCAAAAGTAGTAGTTGGAACACATAGAAAAACCAGGTCCTCTATAATCAAGTTAAGCAAAAATTGGGTACCACACAAATCACACCCCCCCCCCTCCGTGTGTGATTGAAATATAAAACATCACTATTCAATTTATTGTTTTGTATCAATTTAATCTACATATCCTTAAAACTATATACAAATTTAATTGTTATCGGATTTTGAGGGTAAACAAAATGGAAAGTAGAAAAACCGTAAGAATTTCAAAAAGGCAAAAATGTAACGAAAATTGCCACCTGAAAATGATTCCATTCGTAGCTTTTGCTAACTCATCATTTTTGGAGCATCTCACGTACAATCAACTCTGCAAAGTGCAAACCAACTCCACTCATATTTCACTCACGTACCAGTAGAGTCTCCTTCTCGCAGTTACACAGTGTCATTTCATTTTCACACACAGGAGCAAGTAGAGGACATGACATCATTTCTTGCTGATATCTTCTGCTGTCAAAGCTTTTTTTTTCCTTGTCAAATGAAAGGCGATTACGGTGGGAAAAAAAATCTAATTGCACTTGATGTTTTGTAGTATCTAATAATAAATGCATGATGTGTGTGCACTTGAACTTTTGTGGCTAAACTATGATAGACTAATATACATTTCCATTTAATTTTATTTTAGTATAATTATCGGTAAAGTATTTATTTAATGATAGCTGATCCTGGTGGTCAAACTCATGTAAAATTTGTTGAACTCGGTGCTGGCCTCATGCCTCACCAGTAGCCTAACAGCACCAATTTAATTCCAATTCACGCCTAATACAGAGGTCATACACTAAGTACACTGACTCACTACTTTTTATTGGCCAATAACTCTCCTCTTCTCACACAATACAGAACACTCCACCCTCCACTCAATTGCTCTCTGAAAATACACTTAAAACACCAGCACTTTTCCGGAAGCTTTAATGAGGGGAATTGCTCTAGCATTGGGTGGATCAGCGAATGAATTGTTATTGGTGGTGATCAGTGGCGGATCCAGAATTTTCATCAAGGGGTGTCAAAATATTAATAATTAGATATATCGAAAAGTTAAGAAGTGTCAACGTACAGTAAATCTACATAAAATAAAAAAATCTATCTAGCGATATAGTGTAATTTTCCGGCGAAGGGGTATCGCTTGACATCCCTTGATTCAATGTGGCTCCGCCATTGATGGTGATCGATTTGGGTTTTGTAAACAATTGGTTTACCCTGCTTCACCCATCTTAGATATCACTCATTAGAAAAAGAGATACATCCAATATCAAATTTTTCCAAGTGATGAAATCAGCTAAATCCATTCGATAATGCAGCATGCAATTGATTCTGAGTGCGCTATTTTACAAAGAAGGTGGAGAAGAGACAGAGGCGGATCTAGGATTCCGGAAAGATAGGTTCACCATTGCTTTTAAGATAAATATTAAGTTTGATGACATAAATTTTTACAGTACAATAACGTAGCGAGCAAAAAATATTTAGTTTCATTATCACAAAAAAAGAAAACATCATCAATTTACAATTGTACTCGACGAGTTTTCATACTTTGAAAATGATCTATAATAGCATCATTACTTACAGTTGCAAATACCTTACGCTCTATATTGCAAACTAAATAAACATTTAAAAATTCTTCACTAATGTTATTACGTAGATCATTTTTTATGAGCTTCATTGAGGAGAATGCTCTTTCCACGCTTGCAGTAGCAACAAGTAAAATCAAAGTCAGCTTCACAAGTAAATAAACATGACACAAGTTTGATCCAGTTTTGTCTTTGTCATCACTATAGCAAGATCCTTAATTCCTTTCAAGTTTGACAAACTTGCTATCACACATTCGAGCATAGACAATGAAACTATCAAGCTGAAAATTGAGATCTCGAAGCTTGTTGTCATCAAACTCACTTGGATAATACTCGGCCAACTTTATTATTCTGTCTTTGTCAAAATTAGCAAATGATTCGACCGGATTCAAGCAAGCCATACCAAGGAGTAAGTCACTAGTCACTACATCAAAACGGCTATTTAGCTCATGAAGTTGCAAATCAATAACTGCATAAAATATTTTCACACTAAAGTGATGTGCATATGAAACATCAGACTTCTTATGCTTTGACCTTGAGTAGTCTTCATCCATTTTGGGAATCATAATATCATGTTTACCACAAAATGAGTAAACCTCATTTATCAAAGACTCCAATTCACTTTCTCTCATTGTTTGTGATCTTGCCTTTGCAAGCTCAAGCAAGCTCATAGCATTGACGATGTCTTGATCTTTCTTTTGTAAAGCTTTGTTCAATTCATTTGTAAGAAGCAACATCTTGAACATCAAGTGCAACATAAACACAAATTCAAATTCCTGAATATTGCCCAAAAGATTTTTTGCTGCAAATCTCTCAAGAGAATGAGGACTATTCTGTTGCATATCTTTAAACACATTAATAATCAAAGAAAATATAACCATGAAAATTTTCAAGGTCTTAAAATGGGATCCCTAACGAGTATCATCTGGTCGTTGGAGTCCATATTCTTGATACAATCCTTGCCCAGTAAGTATTTCTCCATATTTAAGTAATTCTTCCAGCTTCTCTACTTGGTGTTGTCAAAGTGATTTCCTGCGTTTGAAAGATACTCCAATAGTATTCAATGACATCAAAAAAATTATTCACATCCGGGTGCTTTCTGAAAAGAGCTACAAGTGTCAATTGCAATTGATGAGCAAAACAATGAATACAATATGCAAATGGGGCATCTTGTAAGATCAAAGACTTCAGCCATTTATTCTTCCTTGCATATTACTAGCTCAATCATAACCTTGTCCACGTAACTTGGATAAACTTAATAAGTGAACCAAAAGCCAATCATTAATTGTTTTCTATAATGTTTGTGCAGACGTATCATTCACATGAACAATACCCAAAAAGGGCTCTCACCTCCCCACTTTTGTTAACATGTCGTATAACTAGGGCCATTTTCTCTTTATGTGAGATGTTTTTTGATTCATCAACTAATATCCCAAAGAAATCACCATCCAAGTCTTTGATGATAGCTTTAATTGTTTCTTTAGCACAAGCATCTTCAATATCCTTTTGAATTGCTGAACAAATTATCATATCATTTTTTGAAGCTTTGTGTAAAATTACCTTTCCCACATCCTAATGCTTATCTCCATAAAATTTCAAGAAAAAGACCTTTATACTCGGAATCTTCACTCTCATTATGATCACGAAATGAATCCATTTCTAAAGAGAAATCTTACCACATCAAGAAAAAGATTTGCTGGAAATTTCAAGTAAAATCATGCAACAGATTGAAACAAAATCATAACCAGGGAATTCTTTTCAAAAGTTTTAGATAAACTGAAAAAAAACTTTACCTCTTACCAAGAAAATCTTCTAAATGCTTTGAATTTAACAATTTTGTTCACTTTGACGAACACAGGAGACAAGAACAATAATATATAGGAATTAGCTGATTAGGGTTTTATATTTTTTGACTTTTGGGATGAATTGGGATTAGATTAGGAATAGTATTACATTTGGGGATGGGGAAATCGAGAAAAACTCCAAGCGTGCGGGAACTGGGAAGTGCTTTAGAGTTTTAAGGAACAAAAAGAAAAGTTGCGTTAATACAAATAGAAAGAAAAGAAATATTTAAGGAAAAGCTGTGTTAGTAGAAATAGAAAGAAAAGAAATATTTAATAAAAATTTAAAGCGATCAGACTGCTGGGAATCGATCCTGTGACCTTAGGCAACTGGAAATAAGGGGTCAAAATCAATGCACCACTTCACCTCTTTTGACCATAGATTACATCAAATATATATATATATATATATATATATATACTTTTTGCCAAATTATGTACATCATATATATACTCTCTCCGTTCCATTTTATGTGAATCTATTTTCTTTTTGGTCCGTTTCAAAAAGAATGACCACTTTCTAAATTTGGAAACAATTTGAATTTTCAATTTTACCCTTAGTGAGAAGCTTTTATAACCACACAAATATTGTAGACCCCTTTTTGAACTGTTTAGGACCACAAATTTCAAAAGTCTTCATTTTTTCTTAAACTTCGTGTCTAGTCAAATAGGTTCACATAAATTGGAACAGAGGGGATATATTTTAACAAGAGGACCACGGGTTCACGTGAACCATATTTTACACGGTAAATCTGCCTCCTGGGAAGAGATGAAGTGGAGAAGTAGAAGCTCTATATTCATTCAAGTCACAAAATACACGTGAGTGTGGGTATTTATAAATCCCACAATTAATCGCCTCTAACTAATTTTTTCTTAAGGACAAAACTTTCCTAACTTTACACATAAGCTCCTCAACTAAGTTTATGTATAACTAGTCTATATGACAACACTGCCCTTCAAGCTTATGGGTGAAACAATCGAGCACACAAAACCTGGATAAAAGGAAATGATGTTGTGTTGATCCTAGACCCTTGGTCATAAGGTCAGCTAGTTGTGAATTGATAGAAATGTATTGTGGTGCCAATTATCCAGTTTTTATCCTTTCTCGATTAAATGACAATCTATCTCAATATGTTTTGTTCTTTCATGAAAGATTGGATTGGCTGATGTGAGCACCTAATTTTTTCCCCTCATAGAAATAACTCCTAAAAATAGAATAAAAATAATTTTAATGGATTTTAGGAGTTTTTGTTTATTTAGTTGCATTTCATGCATGTTTAATATTTTAAAATCATAAGAAAAATCATAAAAATTGTCACATTTTAATTTTATGTCATCTTAGGTTTAATTTGTATTTTAGGAATTATTCACTATTTAATTGTTAGAATTAATACGTAAAAATCAAACAAAATATCTTTTCAAATTTTACATGTATTTTATAATAGATAAATAGAATTAATTTTGCTAATTGATTTAAGTTAGGTTTTAATTTAGGATTTAATTAGGTAGAATTTGCAATCAAAATGAAATTACATGAAAGGAAAAAGTTTTATTTTTTGAGCTTCAAAGATTGGCCCAATTACCCACACTCCAGCCCAAATATTTTAGCCCAATACTCATTCGCTACAATTAAAATAACCTTATCTCTATTTCCCCGAACACAATCAGGACCCTCCCCTTTGGCAAAAAAAAAAAACAGCGTCGTTTCCTCTATCTTCTCCTTGATTCCTCACTAGAACGAGAACGAGGAGCTTCCCCTTTGAAGAACGCTAGCAGCTTTCTCTCTCTTTTTCTTTACAAAAAAAACAGCCGCCATTCCCCTTCCAAAAACCATAGCCATCCTCTTAATCTCCTCTCACCCCTTGACATATGCACTACTCTCACTCACACGCCAAAAAACACCTTAGTGGTTGCTAACAATACAAAAGTTAGATCTGGAAAAGGTTGAAAACATGAAGAAAGCCTGAGATCTTCACAGATTTAAAGAACACTGATTTCAAAACCTCAATTTCTCTTCTTCCTGGATATTCCCAAGTTGTTGAAGTTGTCGACGAGTCCTTGATTGCTAGTTTAGCTTGGTCGAGTTTTCTCGTCGAATTTCTATCTTTGTAATCCAGAAGTTTTCATATATAAAAGGGAAAGTTCAGCTACCGAAAATGTAACAGTGAAGGTTGTTTTTGCTTTCGGAGATTCCATTGTTGATCAAGGAAACAATAATCACATAGAAACGGTTGTTAAATATAATTTTGAGCCATATGGGAAGGATTTCATAGATGGAAAACCTGTTGGAAGGTTTAGCGATTCCAAGACCCCCTCGGACTTGATAGTGGACGAACTGGAAATTAAAGGCTACTCTTGTGGTATTTTACTCACTTTAATTTGTAGAGTATATCTTCTTCTTTTTTGATAAAATGTAAAACTATATCAATTAATCCATTTTATATGACATTCAATATTTGATTAGTATAATCAATAATTACAGAGTATAATTTTGCCTAAATGAATAGTGAGATAGGCCCTAGGATAAAAAAAAATGTTAGGTCGAGTTTCACTTGAAACTGGAAACTAGTGACGAACAATCTGTTGCCTGCTTACAATAAGGAATTAGATCCGGCATTGAAGGCTATTGCAGCCACTGCCGAGACAGAAGAAAAGCCAAAAATGATCCCCAAGCCTGAAAGTTCCCTATCAGATGGGAGTCTCGGTAGCCAGTCTTGCTATCTTTTCTGCATCCGGATTATCTCGGGGTGTGATTCGGACGTTTTACTTTATTGTCTTACTTTTTGATGTAAACCCTTCTATCCTTAAAATTCAAAAAAAATCATCAGAATAAAAAAAATCAAATGAAATTAATATTTCACTGTCCATGAATGTCTCTTTTCTTAATCTTGTCACTTTTTTTATTCTCTTTTCAGTTCTGTTAAATGCAGATTTTAATAACAAATATGCTTGCAGACTTCATGCCCAGATCCTGAAATGTTGTCAGATCTCGAAATAATGAATCAAGAATTAGATCCCAATGAAGATAAGTTTAAGGAAATATAACAAAGAGTTGGAACATCTGAAGGAAAATTGGTCCAGATTGAAAAGTCCATATATTGTAACAAGAGTACTACCAAAAATGTGCGTTGTACCTGGGACACATCGAAGAAAATGTCCCTCAAACAATTGTCAATGCAAATGAAGTCAAAAGGTACTATGTTGGATCCTCTATATAGCAATAATATTCTCCGATTGGGATAAAGAAAGTTTTCTTTTTCACTATCCAAATATTCAACCATTTGCAAAGCCTTTGAGTCGGCTCCCATTCTTTGATTACCCTCTTTGGAACCTGGAAGTTAATATTAAAAAATAATGAATGAAAAAGAAGAAAAAGAGAAGAAAAAGAAAAATACAAAAAAAGGAATAAAATGGCAAAAAGAAAATGAAAAAGAAAGGAAAGGAAAAAGGAAAGAAAAAAGAAAGAGAAAATAAAACAAAAGAAAAAAACAAAAGAAAATCAAACACAAAGTTCCTCGAACTACGTTCGACTTGATTCCGAAAGGATATGTAGGCAGCCTCTCACTGGTTCGCCTGAAGGGTTCCAAAGTTGTAATTCAGTCCAAAGTCATTTTACCCAAATCCTTTTCAAAGTCCTTCCGATCAATCAATGAGAATGTTCAAGAATTGGAAGATACAGTCACAGGATCTAATGCGACCAAAATAAGGGAAATGAAATGAGAGAGTCTTGTTGGTGAAAAACCTTACGGGCACCGTAAGGCGATGGTAAGCGCAGAGAAATAAAAGATGAGAGAGGCTTGTTAGTGAAAACTCGCAAAGAGCACTATAAGGCGACTGTGAGAAGAGACAAAAGAGGATCCTCACAGCCATTGGATCGACAGAGTCCTGGCAAGGTTTCTCGATTTTGAGGCAAAAGTTGTGATGAATTTCTGAGAGTCAGACGGTTTACACAAATCGGGCATCCAATCCAAAATGCATGTCATGTTTATTGAAGTCCGCATGTACTCCAGATACGTCCTTCTTTCCTTTCCCCGAAGGGACACTTCTTGTTTTAAACTCATTCTCTATTCCATTGTTTGTTTTCTTTGAATTCCTTTCGTTCTAACTCTGTTCCGAAACTAAGACAAAGAAAGGATGGTAAGACTGATTTACAGGGTTCTCATTTGATACAAGCTAATATGCAAAAAGGCATCCAGCCTCGTCAGGGGGATCAAGTCGACCTCGACCGGCCATGGCGACCGATGCTTCGAAATCAAAACTCTTGGAAGGAGAAAATCAAATTGAAGTGCCTATAAAGGCAAATGAAGTTGAAAAGGTCAAGTCCTACGTGGCTAAATGTCTTGGCAAAGGTTTGAAAAGACAAGGTACCCCAAATGCTCTGAAATTGAAGTCGGAAGAAAGAAGCCGGAAATCAAAGGCCTACGAAGGCGAAACAAAGTTGGAAAAGGTTAAGTCCCACGCGACTAGCCGTTGCGCCAAAGTTTGAGGAGCCAAAGGTTCCCCAATGCTCCGAAGTTAAAAAAACAAGTCAGAAGGGAAAAGCCCACAAAGGCAAAATAAAGTTGAAAAGGTTAAGTCCCACGTGGCTAACCGTCACGGTAAAGTTTGGAAAGCCAAAGTTACTCCGGGGCCAAAAATGAAATCGGTTTTCAAGAAACAACCAGTTGCGGTTGAAAGTATCATCAAAAAAGCCGATCAAGATCAAGTGACTGAAACGATGAAGGCCACAAAACCAACCACCGTTTCAAACTAACAATTGTTCTTTATTTGAAAACAGGAAACGGGTACAATCCAAAAGCAACCTTGCAAGAAGCAGGTGCAACAAAAGCAAACCGCGCAGAGGCTAAAATAGCTTTGCAGCAATAATAAATCCAAAAGGGAAGTCTTATCCAAATTCTTTCATGTATTTTCACTCATTAAATAAAAAAATGATGAAAAAATGAAATGGAAAGAAAGAAAAGAAGAAAAGTTCAAAATCATAGTAGTATAGGGTCTCCAATCCCTAGCTGCGTTTTTTCCAACATAGGGTCTCCAATCCCTAGCTGCGTTTTTTCCAACATAGGGTCTCCAATCCCTAGTTGATTTTATTTCTAGACATAGAGTTTCCACTCCCTAGTCGTTTTTTCAACATAGGGTCTCCATTCCTTAGTTGATGCCAGCATAACCT